TTATTAAAATTAAATTATTTAAATATATAATAATATGATTACAAATAAATTAGAATATATAAAATAAAAATAAAATGACTAAATAATTTAAAAATTGAAAGAATGAAATATCATAAATATTATTTAAATAAATTATTAAAAATATAAAATATAAAAAACTGTACCGGTACTCTCTCAAATAAGATAGATATCATAGAATTTCTCAAAAATAAACACTCGATAAGCGGCTAAAAGCAATATAAAATAATAGTGCTTAAGTTGGATTATTTAAGAAATTTAGGTGTTAACTATATGCTACACTTGATTTTGAATTTTAAAATTAAATTTATAACACTCAATTGAAGCATGTGGGCAGGGTTGAAAGGGCAACAAGTAAGGAAGCAAATAATAATACATGGCATTTTCATTTGATGAATCTTTTTAACAATGTTAACGTTTTGTTTTCGATTAGATTTGTAATAGTTATGGATGTAGAAGAGACAATAGACAAGACAAGTTGAGTAACAAAGTTGTACAAGTAGTCGTTCGCTAGAAATCCAAGCCAATGAATGGGGTGGAGAAGAAGAATGACACTTCACAAGACCACCGCCACATGAATCACAACACCAACTATTTTCTCTCCTATTTCTTATCTTAGATCCAATTATTTCATAAAACTAAATGTAATCAACTCTACATAAATATTAATCTATACTCTACTTTTTTTACAATAATTTTATATTCATTTATTTTTATAACCATATTTAAATCACTTTTTCTTTCATTATTTTTATTTATTTTTTATTTTTTATTTCAAAGATGTTCATTTTTTAAATCTCTTTTATTAAATAATTACTCGTTATTTTTTTATTTTAAATAAAAAGACACGTAACTCTTTTTCTCTTAATTAAATACAAGGCTTAACTCATTTTGTTGAGTGTGAATTATTATAAACTTTTTAGTATTAAGGTAGATCCTCATTAATTAAAATACTAATTAAAATAATTAATAATAAAAATATTAATCAAAATAATAGATAAAAATAATCAACAATAAGTAATGACAATGACAATAGTAATAATAATAACAATAATTATTTAAAATGTTTTTCTTTTAAATATTATTCGATTATTTATAGTAAAACTCATTTACTTGATTTTAAAGATTATTTTATAAAACTAATATATTTATTTATATAGATATTTTAATAATATTTTTAGAACAATGTTCATCTCTTTCAAAATAATGTTTTTTAAAATAATTGTATCTATTGAATGAAGAAGTAGATAAATAGTGAAGTAAAAATGAAATATCAATTCATTATTCGAATTGGTATGATATTGATAAAAATATCTATCAATTTTATTGAAAATTAATCTCTTTCAAAATTTTAGATTATATTAAGATTATTTTTAAAAAAATATATATATTTTTTATTAAATTCAAAACTCAAAATTTAGGAATTTTGAAGATTCGCGATCAACCCCAATTGATGGAGAAGATAGGAGGAGTGAATGAATGTTCTTCTCCTTAGCTCTCCTTATGCACGGATCTTCTTCAAGGAAATAGAAACCAACGTGATGAACACTAGATGGAGGAGATTCTCGGATAGGAAGAAGGCTTAAGCCTTGGATGGAAGCATCCAAGCTTAAGGTGCAAGGGAAAGCTCACTTCAAAGAGGAGGAAATCCTAGAAGGGTTCCTAAGGTGAAGCTTTCTCTCATGGTGACTCTTGAACGAAATTTGGCTGAATAAGCTCTCAAATTTCATTATTCTCAAAAGTGAATACAAAGAGTGGAAGAATCACTTAAGTAGGGTTCCAAGTGTGCAACTTTGGGCGCCTAAATCCAAGGCTACATGTGGCGCCCAAAATTTGAATTCAAACTTGAAATTTGAATTCAAATTTTGGCTCCCATGTGCTAGTCCGAAAATTTAGGTGCCTAGATGCATTTAGGTTTGATTTGAGAGTTATTTAGGGTTAATTTGAGTGGCACATGTTCAGCCACCCATGGTGCTAAACATGTGACTCAAATGTAACTTAAATGACTTCCAAATTAAACCTAGTTTAACCTAATTTACCTATTTAAGTAATTCTTGTATATTCCTAATCTAATGACCTAAATACAATGGTCAAACAAATACAATGGAAAGGAAAAATTACAAGAATGAAAATGAGCCCAATATTGGGTACCAAAAGCCCAAAGGCCCATGAAGCCCAAAACTAGGCCCAACAAGCCTAAAACCTAAAATGCTACTCTATGTGGTCCAAAATACAAGACCAAAATATATGATACCTATACTAACATGATGTATACAAAACACATGAAAATAGCTATAACAAAATATGGCCCATGAAAAGTTCAACTTGGGCCTTCCCAGGCCCATCGGACCCATTGGGCCTTGACTGGCCCACACCTTCATGTCTAACCAACTCCTCTTGGCTCCTTCAATATGTCACCTCTTGCCTTCCTAGGCATGATTCCATCACCAATCATACCAGCACTGGTTAGTAATCCAGAAGCCTTATAATACTCGTTCCAGATCAATTTTTGATTTTTCTCAAGTGTAATTTAAAATGATTTTAGAATTAAGTGTGCTTGTAGATGCGTGTTGGTTCGGTACTTCGGTTACATACAGGCCTTGGTTTTACCCTCAGTTGTTTTTTTTTTCTTCTTATGGATTTAAATTGGATCTTTAAAGGATACTGAAAGATGTGGATTGGCCCAATAAAAAGTTGGGATGGATCAAATGTATATTACATGTCACAAGGGCACTTATAAATTTCTCCTTGAAAATATTTCCTTGTGTTCAGCTCCCCCAATGATTTGAAGGATGCATTTAGACATGAATACCTAAATCAGTGGGCGCTATATCAAATGATATTTGGTCCAAAAGTTCCTAGATTCATGTCCTTTCTTTTATCATTTTCGATTTTATTCAAGTAAAGCGTGCATGATTCTATAACAACTTTTTATCATAAAGTTATTTCCTAGCATTAAAGAAAAACAACAACAAATGAACTGTTCCTCTTGTGTACATGGATAGGCTTTAGAAGTCACGTTTGTACCTAAGACTCTTCGATAATTTGTTTTAATTAACTTATAACTTATTTTTTTTAATCTATAACCTTATTTATTAAGACAAATTTAGGTAGACAATTTTTATATGTGATGAATTATGTACCATAACTTATAGTCTTTAGATTAATCTATGAATCACATTTTTACAATATATCTTCCACATTATTACCTTCTTGGTAACACTTTTTCGTTGACCATCATATATGGTTGAGCACCCCTTGTTTAGTGCAATAAATCACATTTAGTCTATGATCCACATTATTAATCTATGAATCACATTTAGTCTTCGTCCTCCACCTCCTCGTGCGACACTCCGATGGTTGTGATATGGCAGATTCTGATGGCGACAGAATCAGTGGAGAGGTTGAGTTCATCTGGAAAAAAAAAATATGATATGGGAGATTCACCATAATAGTGTGGGTGTCAAATTAATTTTAGGGTTAAAAATTCTGGAACACTATACACCACTTGAGAGAATGACACTCACTCTATTTATTATAATGTATCAAACGTAAAATATTTTTCTTTTGATGAATTTGAGGTATCTTGCCCGAAAAATAAGAACCAATTATTTGAGATGTTGAGATTTATATAAAGAATTATTTTTTTATGATAATTTTTTTCCATATATATATATAATATAATGTAGATGTGACTATTGGATGTTAATGAAAATATATATAATTGGTAAAGGAATTTATTTTATTGGTTTAGTATGATTAAGAAAGAAAAAGGTATTTTTTTTTAACTATTTTCACAAATTAGTCTCTCCATTATTACTAGAGTTATATATTATTCGTACAACAGTTTTATATAAGCTTTTTTATTTTTTATGCTTAATGCTACTTTTTCTGTCTATCTTTATTTATCATAACACTTATTTTATCTAACACCTTTTTTTTCTTCTTCTCATCTCTATTGTAATTGTAAAATGAATTGTGGAAATTTGTTTGTACAAAAATATTTTTTCTTATTAGCATGCACAATTTCTTCTCCTAATAAAATATATTTATACAAGGGGTGATGAGATTTTTTTACCTGAAGGAGAAGATTGAGAAAGTACATAGGGTTCTCTCAATACCAAAGGCCAAAGGTCAATAGCAGTTATGCGTTAGGTAAATCCAACCTAACTATTAGCCATCCACAGGCCATCTTTGTATATGGTATCCTCATCCAAACGCCATCTTGTTTGCCTGTAGTACCTTATATTTACTAAGGATTAAATGCATGTGCATGGGCAATTTCATCGCACGTTTATAACATGCAAGATATAATACATACATATAGAATTCTCTCTTTTTTTATAAAATTGATTTTTACATTAAGTTTTTTTAATTTAATGGTTAAATCATTTTTAATGTAAAAACTGTTAAGTTATTTAAGGAAATCAACTAAAACTTATTATTGGAATAAATTTTGGTAGATTTATTTTATTCAATAACTTATATTTTATATTAAATTTAAATGATTCAACCATTAAATTAAAAATTCTTAATAAATAAATCAATCTAGAAAATTTTAAAAATTTTGAAAACTATATAATACTTCTTATATAAATTCAAATTATAACGTATAAAATATTTTTATGAGTATCGATCTCTCAATTTAAATTAATGAAATAAAGTATTAAATAATTTTAATTTTTTTTAAAACTTAATCTATACATTATAAACTTTTAATTTAATACTTAAATTATTAAAATTTAATATAAAATATTATTTATTAAATAGATCATAAGTCTAACAAATACTTAAAAACCTATTCTTAGTATACAATTTTAAATACTCTTAAAAGAAGTAAATTTGTCACTCAATATATATACACACACAATTAGGCAACTGTGGTAACCAAAAGTTCCCTTGTAATCTCGTAAGGTCTAACATTCAAAGTTGTCAAATTAGGCAGTGCCTGCTATATGGCTTTGAAAAGGGGTAGTAAGCCTTTAGAAATGTAAAGTTTGTCTTTGTATACGAATCCTCAATGCATACAAATGTTCCAACCATGTCCACTTTTGTAAGGGCTACAACCACAGTTGGGTACATAGGGCAACCACTATTTCTATTTGCCCATATGCTTTCTTAGACATTGGAGACCTACGAATATATCCCTTAATGATAATTGAATGAAGTGCCATACGCCAAAGTTACACTCCACGTGTCAGAATAAGGCCTGTTCTATTCTAAAGTTTGGTTCATTCACTTCTCAAATGTCAGTCCAAATCAGAAGGCAAGTCACCAAACAAAAGAAAAATGAAGTGCGCCATTTAAACAGTGGTAATTGAAAGGTTTGAATAGCTAGCTTAATAAAACTTGCTTGTCAAGAAATCATGCCGAGCCTTTTCCCACTACGTGCATGCTCAATTTTAAAATTACGCTAACACAACAACTTTTAAAGGGCACAGGGAGTGAGGTTCTCAGAATCAAACATAAAGCACCACGATGATATCAGACAAACATGTTAGAAAATCCACTTTGAGCAAAAGGCTTGGTTGCAAACATGTATCATTAGACTATGTTCTAAATTCTATGGCTACAATTACCATATACTTATATATTACTGTCGTAATGATGCAGGCAGGTACAAAGTAATTCAACAGGTAAAAATTATCAGAATGGGAAAAAAATTAGTATAGCAATCAATTTATAAATTAGGGTTGAGAGAAAAGTAGTTTATATATAACGTTGTATGATTCAGATAGCTGACCTCGCTTAATGAGAAAAGGCTTTTGTTGTTGTTGGTTGAGAAAAATGTTATAGTGAAAAGTGAAAACTAATAAATAAGCCCTTACTAATTCCCCAAATGTTCATTGAAATACTTACAGAAATAAGAGAATAAATCTTGCAGCACTAGCTAAAAGCTAGAAGATTAAGTTCCACTCTAGAATACAAACTAAAAGAGTCACAATGTTCATATATCGGAAGTTTGAACCTAAACTATGTGCTTCTCCTGCAAACAACTACCTTTTTTCCCACTACAGTTAAAGCTTTGATAAAAGATCTCAAAGATAGGGATCCCAATCATGGTTTTTTCTTTTTTGTCATTAAATTAAAAGTTCCAAAAAATAGATCGTGCGTTCACCCATATTACAGTGCTTGTCTCACAAAGCATGGGCCCATATTGTAATTGGACATTTCTCGTGTACATGGGGCCAACCAAGGGAACACAACTACAGAACCTTGAGCTGCCACGTGGGTTAGTTACACTGTTCCTATTGGTTAATGTAGCTGCAATCCTACATTATAAATAGTAGTTTCAGCCACACTATTCAGATACCAGTTAAAGCCTCTCAAAAAACTCTCTTCTTAAAAATCACATGGCTGAATTCAATGCAGATTTCCAAAGCTTTAGAACCTCGTTTCCTTTCTTAGATGTTGATAACATGGAAATGCACAACTTGATGCCATTTGACAGCTTCTTGGGCTCCCCAGAACCTGAATTTCCAGGAAACTTGCATGACAATTTTCCAGGTCTTGTGCAATGTGCCAACAATCACAATGCAGTTCCAGTTTTAGTTCCTATTAGTTCAATTAAAAATGAAATACATCAAGGTAGAAAGAGGAAAGGAACTGATATGTGTGAACCAAGTTCTGCAAATTCAACTTCTGTTGTTACTGAGAGTGGAAGCAAGACAAGAAATGTAAATTTTCTTCTACTACTTCAATTTTTTTATTTTTAACTATCTTATTGGTGCGAAGTAACCCTTCGACTTTATTGATGACTATCTTTCATGAGAGAATCACACTAATCACTTTTAGTGGAATTTCCCACCATATTTTTTGTATCTATAAATCTCGAACTCAAGTTCTGGTCCACTAGTTACTTTTATCATATTCTTCAGGCCTAATTTTTGACTTGTATTCAAGATAGAGATTCATGCTTTATTTGTTCTGGTGCATGTTTACAGGGTTCTAGAAGAGGCAAGAGAGTTAAAAGGAATGCAATAGAAGACAAGAAACCAAATGAAGTAGTTCATGTTAGAGCCAAACGAGGTCAAGCCACTGATAGTCACAGTTTAGCAGAAAGGGTATACTATATTTTCTAAATCTCCTTCACATTAAGAAATCAATTTTCAAAACCCAAGAACAAAAAAAGTAAATCGTCAGCTATAAAATAGGCGCAATGAATTTAGAAAACTTTTGTGCTAGTTAAGATGAATGTGGACTTGAACATATTTTTCATTTAATGTTATTCAGGTTAGAAGAGGAAAAATCAATGAAAAACTTAGGTGCTTGCAGAACATTGTCCCAGGATGTTACAAGGTAAAGATTTGCTTTTTTATTCATTTATTCATACCAAGTTAGTATGTGTCTAACTTTAAAAAATAATCTCCGACTTTTTTTCCTTCACATTAATGGTGACTTGCAGACCATGGGTATGGCAATAATGTTGGACGAGATAATAAACTATGTCCAGTCCTTGCAGCATCAAGTGGAGGTAAGTGATAAAACAAAAAGTAGCATTCAGTTATTGGTGGCAAAGCAAAATATAGTTAAAACAAAACCTTAATGTTTGATTTTACTTGCAGTTCCTCTCTATGAAGCTTACTACAGCAAGTACCTATTATGACTTCAATTCAGAATCAGATGCTTTAGAAACAATGCAGGTAGTAACTATTCCCAAACATTTCTCGGCCTTATGTTAAAAAAATGTGCTCGTTTTAGTGTTGTTCATTTTGTGTTGTGTGGTGATTAATATTCTCCTTTCATAGCATATACATGTGCAAACAATTGGGACTTGTGATGGATAACATTTATATATATATATATATATATATATATATATATATA